TTTTATACTGTCTTATATGCAGATTACAGAGTTCCAAACCTCTATGACATACTTTCTCTTTTATGTACACCAAAAAAAAAAAAAAAAAAAAAGTTTATCGGGATGTCTGTGCTGCTCTTTTTAATACAATGAAAAAGGATGGCGACCAGGGCCTCTTTTTTTCGGAAAACAAAAAAACATTATAAAAGTAGTCTATAAAATGTATTCTGAATCCATACAGCGCCTTTATGTGACAAACCGACTAATAGTTATAAATCACTGAAAATCGTGCATACAAAATCTTGCTTGGCAGCTGTGGTCTCCATTTACTTTCATTGTGTGGAAAAGAGCAGCTTGGACATGCATTATGTGCGGCACATAAAAAAGACATAAGCATGAGTAAATGATTCCAGAATTTTTTATTATAGGTAAAATATCCCTATAAGGCTTTTGAAAGAAATGTTTTAGTATGTTGTTGTTGTTTTTTTTTTGTCTTAAATGCTTGTTTGCTTTTTGTTTTTCAAGTTTTTTTTTGCTAATAAACTAGATTACTTGCTCATTTCAAGTTCCATTAAAAGGATTATCCAGATGCAATTACGAAACAGTATTAAAGGGGTATAGATGTAGGAATTGTGGTTACAATAACAATCAAAGACAAGGTCACACTGGGTGTTTTTCATACTCAAAATGTGCATGTAATACAAACAAGACTCTCACAGCATAAAGGTTAAAAACATGAAGGAGGAGAATTCTCTGCACATTTCTAAACAACAAGACAACTATTCTCACCCTGGCCCTTTCACCGTCCAGCCATCCCCCATAGGAGTTGGTGGGAGTCTCGTGAATAATGCAGTTCTCCTTTAATTAATTCAAACCTGCTTACAGAACACAAAGACCCGACTGAGAGGAGAGCAAGTGTAGGGTTTAAAGAGCTCTTAACACAGCCATGCATCAACCATGATGGCCTGAAGGAGTGGAGAACACATTCTGTAGTTCCGATAGAACTAACCAATAACTGTATAGAACCAAAGTGCATGCGGAACAAAGTTAGACAAGTTAAGATGTTTGACATGGTCCTTCCACATGAAGCATTCCACAGAAAATTGTTTTGTTAGTCGTACTGTAAAGTTGTTTGTATTGTACTTTTAGTGGTGGGATTATTATAGGGAGATTATTCCTGTGTCAAGTCCTATAGGTTATGTCCCTGGTATCCCTGCTGCGTGGTTCATGTGAGATTTACCAGGTGTGCTGACTTTAAATTGTCATGACAAAAGTTGGACTTTGGACAGACAGGGTTAGTATGCCATTTTTCGCATTCTGTCATTAATTACTCACCCTCATGTCTTTTTAATTAACACTTTGAAGGCCCAGAAAGGTATGAAAATCATTGTGGTTCAACCTTATTTTTATGAAGCGACCAGAATAGTTTTTTGTGTGCCGAAAAAACTAAATATCAACTTTATTCACTAATTTCTTTTCTTCGTCTCCAATGCGTGTTCACGAGAGCACCATGACCCATGTGTGTGTATGTGGTGATGACAAAACACAAATGAAGATCTTTTTGATGACGCTTCAAACAGCTCATAAAAGAGATTGTATTACCAATTCATATGAATTGTGCGGTTTAGTCCAAGTTGATGCATTTAAATGATGGACAGATTTAATTTAGGCTTTTATTCACTTTTAAACATTGATCAGTGAACATTAACAGAGGCTCAACCAAACCTGCTTGACACACGAGAAAGCCCAAACCTGCTGCGTGACAAAGATTGAACCTCATTGGTTCTTGAGAAAGCCCAAATGTGCTGCGTAACACAAGATTGAATCTCATTGGTTCTTGAGAAAGCTCAAACGTGCTGCGTAACCCAAGATTGAACCTCATTGGTTCTTGAGAAAGCTCTCAAATGTGCTGCGTAACCCAAGATTGAACCTCATTGGTTCTTGAGAAAGCTCTCAAATGTGCTGCGTAACCCAAGATTGAACCTCATTGGTTCTTGAGAAAGCTCAAACGTGCTGTGTAACACAAGATTGAACCTCATTGGTTCTTGAGAAAGCTCAAACATGCTGCATAACACAAGATTGAACCTCAGTGGTTCTCACATGTCATGCGAACATGCTTGAGCTTCTGTTTAGCACTGGTGTGTGCGTTGAAGAATGTTCGTATGTGAATAAATGCCTAAATTCAAAATGTTCATCATATAAAGCGATCATATCTTTCGAAATTTTGGACTAAACCGTTCGATTCATATAGAATAGTTTTATGTTCTCTTTATGAACTTTTTGAAGATTTCATCAAAAAAATCATCATTTGTTTACCGAAGATAAACTAAAGTCTTACGAGTTATGAATGACATTACAGTGAGTGATTAATAACAGAATTTGGATTTTTGAATCAACTATCCCTTTAATGTCCAATATAAAAAGTACATTACCATTCAAAAGTTTGGGGTCAGTGGGATTTAAATTCATTAATACCTTTGATTATTCAGGTTGCCTTTGATTATTCAAAGTGACATTAATGTTATTTTATAATCCTGAAAACAATGCATCACAACATCCATAAAAATATTAAGCAGAACAACTGTTTTCAACATTGGGTAATGGCTGCCGAACATTCAGCAATCCAATCACAGGAATGAATTACATTTCAAAATATATATTTAAAAATAAATCAGTCATTTTAAATTGTATTAATATTTCACAATATTTTTGCCATTTTCAATAGTCCTGACCGCAAACTATTGAATGGTAATTTAGCTCTTGAAGCAAAACTATCTGAGATCAACTAGTCTAGATTTTGTAGAGTGAGAGTTCTAGTACTTCCTGTATGACATCACTGTGTTTGTCTCATTGATTGAGGGTCCCATTGTCACTGACAATAGCAGTAAAGCGAAAGGAGACAAAACAACCAAGAATGCACCATAGTTCCCTCAATGCGGACCACTCGGCTGCACACACAGGGAGGAACATATGGTCAACAATACATCAACATCTCTCCTCCGCCCCCCATGACAGACACAACACTTTCTACTTCAACTCGGACTCCCTTACCAGTAGTCAACATCCACAAATCAGGCCTGAGTGGTTCATTACGCAGTCCCATCGCTAAGGCTTATCAAAATAGGAAGTGTGGAAATCCATACAGACTTGTGAACACACCACACGCCCATTCACTGAAGGCGTGGAGTCAGCGGTCACATCCGTCTCTCTCAGCTCTATGTGCTAAAAGTAGATCCTTTAAGATCTACCATTCCAATCACATGCAACACGACTGCCCCTTAATTACTCTAATTAGCATGTTGAGAGGAAAACACCACAAACAAACAAACGGAAAGAGCAAGGAAGGGAGGACAGAATGAGACCAAAACAGAAAAGGGTGTCAGTTCCCTTTTTAAGGTTTCTAATAGTGACAGTCAACAGTGAACAAAGTTTTTAATAGCTATTGAGTGTGTTTGCATGCAAGATTTTATCAAGGAATGGTCACATCGACACGTTTTAATGCCCTTATCCGACATCTGCATTTCTGTGGACATTTTGGCCAGACCAGAAACTTTTTGATATTTTAATCATGATTTTATTTATTTTTTACAGTATTGTGTTGTTGTAATTAAAGTAAAATGTACTACTAATAAAACTAGATACTAGTCAAAAATACTAATTTCATAGTAAAATTGTCTTTTACACTCAGAGTCTAAAGTCACGCAATAGTCAGTCTTTAATGGACCCTTCTTTTGTTGAGCAGGAAGGGGTGAGCGGAGATGTCAAGCCTCAACCCCCCTGCTACCCATCTACGATGTGACCCGCAGTGCTGTATTCAGTCTGTGAGTCGACTAGTGAGATTTGTGACATGTTAATCACAAATGTATTAAAGTCCTCAACAGTGGCTGACACTTTTTTCCTCATGAGCAACTCCAAAGACAACAGATGCTTCTGCTGCGAAACTTTAAACACACACACAACCACCCACCCACACACACACACACACCCATCCTCACAACAGCTACTGTCAGCTACTGAATCTAACACACAAAGTGTCACAGACAGTTTGCGAGCTTAGACAAAATTAGACAAAATTATACTTAACTATATATATATAATGGAAAAAAAAACAAAAAAAACCAGAGAACTTTAACTAAATAAATGTGTTACTTTTCTTACCTGGCTTGAGGTTATGGTTTCTCCAGGTATGTTAAAACCGAATATTCTCCTTATACAGTCTGTAAGAGTTTCACAGTTTCACAGCAAGCATAGCGATCTAGTGCACTGATTCACACTGATGGACAACAAGACGTGCGTGAACGACAATCCTGTTATGTTGCCACTGACCTCCCACTATGAACTGTGCCGGTGTTTTTCAAGCAGTCTTACAATCTCCTCTAAGTCTCTCTCTCTCACTCTCTCTCTCTCATTCCTTAGTTCAGCCCCCAAGGGAGTGATTTAGGATTTCCCAGACACACCCTCTCCAATGGGCGGGACTTGAGGAGTCATCTCATAACCGACTGGCCGGCCCCTGCCCCCAGCAGCTCTCTCCTCGTTCATGTGTCCAGTCCGCACATTACTGGCCCCTTTTTGTTCAAGTTAACTTTTTGAACAAGTGTCACATTGTCTGTTATGTGTCAAATTAATACTAACAATTGAAATTACTGAAAAACTGAAATCTTTACACTACCGAAATAACTCTCATTAGTTTGCAACTACATGTAAACTAACTCTCAGAGTATGAGTAGACTGTTACATACTCATACTGAATAAGTTGTTATACTTGCAAATTTACTTACAGTCAGTATGTTGGGGGACCATTAAAATAAAGTGTTAGCAGATATTAAGCAGACAGTCGACTAATACTCTAATTAGGGGAAGTTGACATGCAGCTTCTTATAGTGGAATGTCTAAAGTGGACTATCAAAATAAATGCTGCGTCACAAGTTGCATATTCATCCTAAATGGTTTTTGAAATTAGAATTAATGTGTCCCAAACTGCAATATTTTAAAGTGAGTATTCAACGTGCTGCTACATTTCTCTCAGATACGATTGGAAATTAAATTAAATTGAAAGTGGAGGATTTTAACTGTGGATACTGTGAGCTAAATGTTTTTTTTTTCTTCTATTGTCTCTGAGGAACAGAATTTCCCGTCTCTTTGTCCTTGGATTCCTCTTCATTGTCAGTGGGACGATAACAAATGACCAAGGCAGAGTTCCTTCCCCAATGATTCAGGCAGAGAGATGGGGCGCGGTGTGATCTGACTAAACGCTAAGGAGAGTGTGATGATCATGCAAGTGATTCAAAGGTTTGTTTTGTCACTCAGTTACCATCTGAATGTTGTGCAAAACATTGGAACACCTGCCAATGCATTTCCAAAATCATCACATAACAACAGAGACACAACATGCATAAAAATAGCTATCTTCTATGGGTGCTGTGCAGTTATATACACAGTTAGCTAAATGAACAAATGTTTCATTTTAGGATGAGTGGTGCTCTTTACTGACCAATCAGTATCTGAAACCTAACCTATCAATTTTATAATGAAAATTCTAGTTTTGCACCATTTACATACCAAAAGAGCATAAACACTAGTGCCACAAAACTAACTCTATTAACAAAGTGTGTGCCCTGAAAAGGAGACATCTGAATTGAAATAGGCCTCCTTAAGTTACAGCACACCTGCCTAGAATACCATTCGTCAAAGTGTCAAAACCAGACATTGTCATGAAAAAGGATATATATATCTGTCAAAAACACTATTCAAAGTGCTATTATCAATCTTTGGCTCTGTGCAATTAAACGTGCACACTTTGAAATTGAGCGTTTATTATGTGACACAGGCAATAAATCACTAAAAGGGAAGAGTTATGGTGAGCTTGTCAAATATCTGGCTTGTTCAGCCCTGGTGTCCTCAAATATGGTAGACACAACCAAAGATAACAATATCCGTAACATATGAATGGAAAGTCTGACAAAACACCTTCACGATAAGTAAATTCAGATTGGATGAGACACGTTTGAAGTGGCCACACATAAACTGAATTCAGATTAATACAATTGCAATGCTGCTTGACAACAGTAATTAACTGTAATTAGTAATTAAATCGTTTTAACTTGACAAACAACTCGCTTTATCAACTTGACATTTTTTCTCTCCTTACTCGGTTTCTTTCACTCACGCGTGTAACATAAAGCAGACCTGCCTGCGGCTTGTGATGTCAATATCTAGACTGTGGTCAGTATTGCAAAATATCTAGCGCTTGACACATTTCCACTATTGCATGGCATTTGCCTTTATGAAGGCCAGCCCTAATGCCAATGACTGAGAGCAGACATTCTTTGATTTAATCTGATGATCTCATCTCCTTAGGCACCTTAACATGGAGTCAGCATGCCTGGCCGGACCACCTCCAGCCCCCAGCAGAGCAGAGCAGCTCCGACTGGAAGAAGAGGGATGGTCACAAGTAAAGACCAACGAGAACACCTCATACATGGTGCTTTGTTTGTAACCATGTGTTCTGACCTCAGTGATTACAATGTTAGGGGTTTTTTTTTAAGAAAAAAAAAACTGAAAGTATGTCCTCCTCATGACTATGAATTTTTTACACTTTTTGTTTTCCATTGTTTTTGCAGCATCAAAAACAAGGTTGTTATAAGTATTATGATGCAGTTCCCAATACCCAATAATGAAACAAGCAAACTAGTAAGTAACTGTTTTTTTACTTACCAAAGCTAATTTTACTACTATTTGGAGCTTGGTGAATAATTCTTAACCTATTATTATGTATTTATGTGTACATAAAAATAAAAGAGATGAAATATGGAGACATATCTTTGACCTTGTGCTGCCAAATGTCTTCCAGAATGCCTCAAGATGAACACAAGACCAAGCTCATGTCAGACACAGGAAGTGTCCCTCAGAAGGGATCTAGAGCTTGTCTAATGGTTTTCTTCTTATCTCTGTTTTTTGTGAAAGGGAACGTGTTGCCTGTCTTCATTCTACTTGTTCCACTCAAGGCTGAAGGTAAGAACACTTATCAAAGAATGAAATGTAAACTGTCTCGCCCAGTTCCACAACATGTAATCATCATGTTTTCAACAGGAAAATATTAATTTCCTCCCATGACTGATTTTCTGAATCATGTGATAATCATTATTTATAAACGGACTTTTACAAACTTTACCAGTAAGCTTTACCACTACCACTCAGACTTTTAATAATCTTTATTAAGTCATTAAGAGGGGAATGCATCCATTGTATACCCTGGGGGAATAACTATAAAGCCTTATTAAACTGTTACTGGATAAAACCCAAGTTAAAATTGAGCGACAACTTGCTCCAGTCTTATCAGCTTTATCTTAGAGCCTTGCCTCAGATAAACATGATGTGGAATCTGCTTGTCATGACTGGTATTTTCCAACACCAGCACCATCAGCAGTGAGCAATGAGCATCACTACATCTGACCTCTCGGTTTACAGTCTAGCTGTCATCAGGGGGAGTTTAGCTGCCACTTACACATGACAAGCACAGTCATATTGATGGACTAAATGGCCACTGGTGGCTGGTTGTCCGGTTCCTGCATTCTTACTTGCATAAGTGTAACTCTATTCCAGGTCGCTGGATAAATATGGAGTGAAAGTAAAATTATATTTACTAAGAAAGAGACTTTATATAGACTGTGTATTAGACAACATATTTCATGTTCAAATTCGTATGGTAAGCTCACATAAATGTCATAATTTTCTAGAGATTTTGTCAAAATTACATTTATTAAAGGGATAGATCACCCAAAAATAAAAATTCTGTCAGTATTTACTCACCCTCATGTTGTTCCAACCGCGTTAGACCTTCGTTCATCTTCGGAACGCGAATTATGATATTTTTGATGAAATCTGAGAGCTGGATTACTCCTCCATACTAGTCAATGGGATTGAAACTTGCCGGCCTCGAAAAGTTGTTAAAGACATTGTTAAAATAGTCCAAGTGACTACAGTGGCTCAATCTTAACTTTATCAAGCGACGAGAATACTTTTTGTGCGCAAAAACAAACATATTTAACGAATTTATTTCAACTATTCACTTCCTTCTCTTTGCGCCTCTAGTCAGTTAACGTAGTGTGATAGCGTAGAGCTACGTCACACGTAGGCTCACTATTGGCCGACGCTGGTCATGTGTGATGCGTGTGACGTACAACAACAGATCATACGCTGTTAAACTAGAAACCTGACTCGAGGCCCAGAGAGAAGGACATGAATAGTTGAAATAAAGTCATTATTTTTGTTGTTTTCTATGCACAAAAAGTCGTCGTTTGATAAATTTAAGATTGAGCCACTGTAGTCACTTGGACTATTTTAACGATGTCTTTAATAACTTTTCGAGGTTGGCAAGTTTCAATCCCTCAAGAAGCCTGTGGACTAGTGTGCAGGAGTGATCCAGCTCTCAGATTTCATCAATAATAACTTAATTCGTGTTCCGAAGATGAATGAAGGTCTTACGGGGTTGGAACAACATGAGGGTGAGTAAATACTGACAGAATTTTAATTTTTTGGGTGAACTATCCCTTTAAGATTCTGAAATTTTTCACTGGGGGAGCGACTGATACCACATACGTATACTGTATAAAAAAAAGGTAATCCCATGTGATGTTTTTCATAGTAAAATGGGATGTTTAATAAAGAAAATAAAAAATAGGCAGAACTTAATTTTTTCCATCTGGATAGTAAAAAGTGATCTCCATATGACAGGTGGTTGGACAGCTTAAAAATTAAGAGGTCTTGACCATGTCAGTTAAACCAGAAAAGCTGTGTCAGAGGTGGAGCAATTTTTAACTATACATAATCCAACGATTTGTTCATGCATTGATGAATCATTCACAGTAAGACCAGGAACATGCACTAAGAAAGTAAGAAATCAACAATTTTTGATTTTATAATCTCTTTTATAATATAATTTTATAATGTAGAATGAAATTTTTGTTTTTGTACAAGAGACTTTGGACATTTTGTCGAACTTGGCAGAATGCCAGCACTCTCCTCCTAAACCTATTTAAACATTGTTCAGAAGAGTAATGAACACTTTCTAAAGGTGACGTTTGTCTAGCAGACAAGAGAGCTTAATGCAGGTATCTGAAAAGCTTTTCACAGAGCAGCAGCAATGGCTACTTTATGCCCCAGTATCATCCGTCATGATTTATTTCGGACAAGTATTAAATTTCAAAACAGAGTTTTTTAAAGACGGGGCCCAGCTGTTCCTTCTGGCTGGGAAATATGTTTACATTCATGAAATGCTGGCACTGAGCTGGATGTGACTGAAGGGTGAAGGAGCCGAATGCCAGCTCTACTCTCACACCCAGTGTGAGCAAAAGGACAGACTAGAGTTTTCCCACAAAACGCCCTAGAAACGCCCAGAATATATTTAAGAGACACCCTGGGCTTTCATCTGACTGTGATGAGCGTTCTCACGTTTTCTCACAGGATCAACCCTGGCTTTCAAAATATTTATGATTCCGCTTCTTCTTTTTTTCGAATGCTTATACAGGATTAGGCTTTACAAAACACCCAAAGTGCTTAATGAAAGGACTGCATAACTGGGATTTAATTTGAGCTTATATATACTCTATAATTTAACCATTTTCATGCGTAGTCTTCATCTTAGTTTCTGCAAGACTAAAAAATAATTTACAAAATGATAAACAAAATTATGAAACCCACCTATAATGATTAATTGCTTACAGTACCTTGGCTATTATGTAGGTCAGAACTGCTTATGTATAGAGTTTTATATATGGTGGTGACATCCCTTTGAATGAATCTGCAGTCTGCACTGAGAGCAGGGAAGGCAGTGAGCCAACCACCCATTTAATAGCATGCTTTATTTAATAGTATACTCCAGCCCTTCTAAGCCTGTCACGATTGAACCTCACTGCAACGCTGTGCTTCAAGTATACATGCGAGAAATGTTTATGCACTGACACGTTTTTCAACTACACAAAAGGCTCCAAATAAAACACAGTAGTGCCTGAAGTGGCTTTTAAACTAAAAATCTCTGTGTTCAACAGATGACACAGGTTTGGCACAACTTGAGTGAGTAAATAAATGGCATCCCTTTTATTTTGGGGGCGACTCGATTCTTAATGCTTTTTAAATATCCACTTTTACAGAAATGCTTGAGACATTGATTTCAAACAGCTTCCTATAATAAAGTAAAAACATAAAATAGTTAATGTGAACTGATTTTATAGGGAATTGTAGTGTTTTGATGAATAAATAAATAAAGCTTAAATAAAAAATATACTATTTGAAAACAGTTATTTTGTTAGCTTTCTTGCATGGAGAAAGAAACTACCAAGATCTCTCACAAGGCCGCAGCCGGGCAGACTTGTACCTCTATTTGCACGGAGCATGGTGGTCTATGAAATTGCATGTGTAACAATTGCATTTCTCACAGGAAGTGAGGACTACAGGGGTTGAATGGAGACACTACTAGAATAGGCTGTTAAAGTTGTTGAAACTGGTTTAATCAGACCACCTATTGAGTCCTCAAACAGCCCAAACTTTTTAGGAAAACAATAGTTATTGTCCTCAAGCACAGGACCATAGAGACCAGACGTCTTTTAACCACTCACTATACCAGAATACTACGTTTTCAGACTACTTAAAACTTTTGAGTTTTAAACAAAAGTTTGTGTTACAGACTGCTTGATTTATAGTATAAAATAACCCCTGCATTTGTTCAAAATGATTCCTTAAGGTTACAAAGCTTGGAGACCATTTTATTTGCAAGCTCACTGATCCAAGATATCTAATTCAACAGCCCATTTTCAAAAGTGTCAGAGTCTCTATAGCAATGGAGTCGAGGTAGTATGTTATGCCTGGGAAACGAGCCTCAGCCTGTCAGCCCACTGTTTGTGTGTGTGTGTGTGCCTTGACATGCTTTTTAAGGACTTAATTACACACAGCGGAGGGGTGCCAGGCATTGCGGGATGGGCGAAAGAGTTTATAATCACCTGGCAGCTCCTGCACACAGCAGCGTGTGTCTGCTCCTCCTCTACATATACACGCGTCTGTGTCTGTTTGATGGAAGGTTAGGGGTGGCAGTGTTGCCAGATTTTGCTAAAAAAAAAAATTGGTATGACAAAACAAGCCCAGAATAACCTTCCTCATCCAAAAAATGTTCATGGGTAATGGCGGATGAGAATCTTATTTATTATAGAATAAACTTATTATTATTAATGGATACAACGGGCCAATTGATCAGCATTGGTCGAGGGGCATTTTTTTCTTGTATTTGTTTATCAGTGGGTTAGAAGAGGCCATGAGAAAGGCACAGACATTGTTAAAAAGGAGAAGCAAAATATATGATTAATGACACAAAGTAAACCTTGGCTCAAATGGCAGGTGGGAGGAGGTTTACATGATGGCTATTATTGTTCGTTCATAATTGTGGGGCAAGCGCTATCAACACCAAATACGTGATAGTGTTTTGTAAATAAACCCCATAGGAATGCAGCCTGCAACTGCTAATATTTATAAGAGTCACTCAGAGCCACTTATAATAACTCATTTTAACTTAAAATTCCATGTTTTTTCAAAGCAGCTTTACTGAAAATTGTGACTTAATGTCTAAAGCCTCACATGAGTGACACTGGTGAAGAGAAAAATGTTTACACTGAATGTACTTGTGCTAAATATAATCTAGTAACGTATTATATGTTATACTAAGTCATGTCCATTGAATACATTTAATGATACCATTTTCAATCTGTTAGTAAGACAATATCTAAAGTGTAAGGATAACAATTAGACCTAGTTTAGTTTTTGAAGTCCATCCTAATATAAGTGGACATGGCAACACTGAGAGGTGTATAATAGGTGGTTTGCAGTCACGTGATTGTGTTGACGCGCGGAATGCAGATGGAGGGCAAGGAGTGAAGAGCGCAATGGACGAGATGGAGGAAAATGCGTACTGTACTACTTTAGACGCTATAACAAGAAAATCGAAACATATGTTTGACGTGATCCTTACGTTATGAAGAGGACCGATTTTCAACTGAATTGAGAGATTTGCCTGCCATCGAGGCTGTAGATATCAGCAACTATCTCGTCTTACAGACATACTTTGACTTTACAAAGTTCGGAAACTGGTATGTTACACAAACAGCCACATAAGTGTATTTAAACACCTGAATGATGTAATTATAAGCCACAAAAATAATGTATTAACTCACATTTGACGAAGTGATCACTGCACACACACACACACACACACACAGGCATTTCCCATTCGGCTTCTCCCGACCGCAGACGTAGGTTTGCAAGGCATTTTTCCCGGTGTTTTTCTGTCAATTTCTTGTATTTTCCCCCCTTATGAACAACAACTTTTGGCACACGATAAAAACTCCTCGTGGTTTGATCGATTTTAGCAACCATAAATGACGCAAAACATAGGCATTTTGAGTGTGTTATAGTGCTTCCTAAATATGGAAAATCACTTCCTGCCCTCCATCTGCATTTCGCACCATGGCAACGCAGTGTCATGATGTCACGTGAAAACAAGCTATTGGACAGAAGGATGTCTTTGTGTGTGAGTGTGCGGAGACAAGTCCATTCGTAACTCACTATAAGTGTCGACAGTAAATGCTTCTTCTGTTACTAAGTCATGTCCATTGAATACACTTAAGGATACCAGATGTTAAGACAATTTCTAAACTGTAAGGATAACGATTAGACCTAGTTTAGTTTTTGAAGTCCATCCTAATATAAGCAGACATGGCAACACTGAGAGGTGTACAATAGGACGGAAGGATGTCTTTGTGTGTGAGTGTGCGGAGACAAGTCCATTCGTGACTCACTATAAGTGTTGACAGTAAATGCTTCTTATGTTTCTGAGTGTTCTCCGATGAACTGTAATCTCTATAATTTCAGCTCACTGACGAGGTGCGTATCGCTTTCAAGGCTTCAAGGTGACTCCTCTGAGATCTTGAGGATAGCATAACTATGTTTATCTCATATGAAAACTTTGCCACCAAGGTGAGTTGGCGTCAAGCCTATATATAGACTCTACCATTACACACACACAATCCTCGATATGCAGGGGGATCCGTCCTGCACTCCAATGCTTCGTTTTGTGAACTAATCCCTGTTGATTTGACCCCATATGTATTTGTCCCCGAGACATAATGTGCCTGTGGCCTGAACTGCTCTCCCACATGCAGGCTTGCTGTGATTAATGAAGCTCTTCACTGCTGGTCTCTACGCATGGACAGACATAGTCACAGGCTGTCCAGTTCAAGCAGGGCTTCAGGAACCGCAGAATCAGCCCAGCTAGAGAAAACATCCATGAAGAGATAAGCTCCTGCTTCTGTTTTTACACCACTGGTTCATGAGGAGGTGTGTGAAAACTGCATAGAGAGGGGTGCTTTAATGACTGGTTTAGTCCTTGAGTTTAATGATTCTGTTACACCTTTTGTATTTTAAAAAGCCCATAAAACTAGCAGAAGGCCAGTCAGTTCAGTCAGTGGCCATCTTGGTGATGCCCCCAGCCCGCTATTGTCTATGCAGGGAATAGACATACAATTTTAGCTTCTATCTACACTTTTCGAAGTTTGTGGCCAGGAAGATTTTTTTTTTTCTTCCAAGAAATTTGAACATTTATTCAGGAAATACAGATTGAGTTGATCCAAATTGACAGTAAAGACATGTATAATGTTACAAATGACTATAAAGTGAAGAACTGAAGTAGCAAATACATTTAGATATCATTGGGTATTTTTTAATTTGCTTTATTATCGTATCTGAGTTTAGATTTACTTGGCAACTAAACGTCACATGAACATTAAGTGATTTGCCACTTTATATGAGAACCATTCCTGCCTAAGTAGGTTGATAGCCAAAAACCTGGCTATAAGACAAGACATGCGAGGCAATGGGAAAAGAATGAGAAAGTGAGAAATCAGGGAAAGAAGACATTCAGAAACCCTAAAATGTTGTGTAGAAACCGTCCTACAATTGATCGTACGATATTTTCTCAAATGTGCCAATGAATTAATTTATAAAACATATAACATATATTAAAGGAGAAGTCCGGCGCAGACAAAATGAACCTTTGGTCTAATAACACATTGTTACCTAGTTGATCGTTCTCTGTTCGACTTGTCGAGACTGTTTTCCAAGATGGCTCCTGCCTGTATACACGAAGTGAACTGTCTTTCTAAAGTATCTTCTTACTAAACAGTCTGTACACTTACAAAGTTCTCAATGCTTCGTATTGCATGTATGGACCCTCATTATGTTACTGTGTTAGTGTGGGGCTATTTTGAGCCTTGTTAGTAACTAGCGATTTCTTTTTACTTATTAAATGCCCCCATATACTAGCATTATACGCTAAACAGTTTTTAGAGATAAAACTCTTTAAATTCGATTATCATGAAAACAAATCTAAGTACCAATGTGTTATTAGACCAAAGGTTCATTTTGCGCCGGAGTTCTCCTTTAACATAAAATAGCACTGGAATGTCCAAATCCTTTACTAGAAAATGGCGAGAGGCCTTAGATTACCAAATGCCTGCTTCACTGCAGCACTCCGACTCTTTGTGTACAGAGCAGTGTTGTGCAAGTTACTTCCAAACTGTAATACATTAGGTATTACTTGTTACTGTTATTTAAAAGTAATTCATTACCTTACAATATTACTGTCCCAGAATTGTAATGCGTTACATTACTCATGTATTACTTTTGAGTTACTTTCACCAAAATAACTAAGTAGAACTTAACTTTTGGGCTGTAACGATATGCAATATGAAACCGAAATCGCCATTTGCCACACGACTCAGATCCACGAACCTACAGAATCGCGACACACCTCGTCCAACTCCGGCGTTATTCTCCTTACCGTCCAGATCCAATGCTGCCTTATCTTTAAATTAGGCTATTAGTATTATTTCAAGGTTAACATTATAAAATACGTAGACCTACACCACAAAACTAGTTGAGGATAAATTATTTAAAATTGGGGAAGTCCAGCATTATGGACATGACATTTGCAGTCAAAACTTGAAATAAAAATTCTCAGAAAATACATGTATTGAAACGTATATAGGCTACTTCCTTAAAGGACTCCAGACATTAGACAAATATCAGTCTATGTTTTATTTTTAATATTAGGGAAAAGACACACGTGACACACGTGCGAGACAAAAACGTGACACACGTGCGTGACAAAAAAATAGGAGGCAAAATATATTTTTTGTAATTCTGTTAATTACACTGCGCAAATCGGATGAGGAAGGGTTGGCTCTCCAGTCTCCATAGAACTTAAAATATTCATTTTATTTTAGTTTGCGTGTTCGCATTTATGAGGAAAAAACAATGTTACAGACGCGACCGCTCTGAACTGGCACTAAAAGACTGCTTTAAAACTTTCACATAGTCTGTTGCCTTTAAGAAGTAAAAGCAGACAATACACTGTAATACAACTGTAATACAAGCCTCACTGAACATGTAACGAGTAAAATATTACTGAAAATTGATTAGTAATGCCTTACACTACTGCGTTACAGCAAAATGTAATATGTTACTGTAATGTATTACTTTTGTAATGCGTTACTCCCAACACTGGTACAGAGTGTGTACTTTTCCATGTCAAAGACCATTTAATACATATGATCGTTGGTGTTGAAGTTCAAATCTATGTGACTGTGAACACACATTTTTTTAAATAAGGTTCCATGTGAGAATAAGAATGACTAACCTCTTTTTGCTTCACGCTCTTGCAGCACTTGGATGCTAGAGAGAATGTGGATGCGATGGAGACGACTTTGGACCCCTAAACCCAAAAGATCCATCTCTGTGAGGTGTAACAAGTCCTAAAGAGAGACAAAAACATGGGGATGAAGTGGTTTAATGTGTGGTGAAAATGACAAGGGCTAGAACTAATTGCTATCTATTATTCACACACACAAACAAACATCAGAAAAGTGTACTGTTTAAGCTAATGGTGTGTTATTACGGCCCCATGCCTCACCACTACTCGGAGTCCGGCCTTGTGTGGCTTTCACGATATTACATTCCTTCTGCTTCTGACACAACAAAAACACACAACTATGTTTTAGGCAGCATCTCTGCTTTCATTGTTCCTGGCAGGACAAAACAAGAGCCGTTTAATTGGAAGGGTTATGTGCTATTTTCTGCTGTTTAGCATTTACAGAGCACATGCCAAAGCATTCCTTCCTAAATAAACAGTAACAAACATACACTGCCACAACATTTTGGGTTATTTGGGACTGTTTGTCAATACAACTAAAATTAGTTCACTCAGATTTTTGTGGCTGCATCCCAATTTTAAAATATTCTGTTTGTTGTGTTTGTGTGTTAGCTATTTGTTTAGATGTTAGCTATTTTTGTGGATTGCATATTTAATTGTACATGCACTTTACTGGTAACCAAATGGTTCAAGGTCCAAAAGTTTCAGTGCAAACTGTTCAAAGGGCTTTAAATGATTCCAGACGATGAATAAATAAATGGTCGCCTTGCTCTGTTTTGTGATGCACGTTTGTGACTCTCCTTTTCAAACTCGTTCATCAAAATGAAGGAATCTTTTCCCGAGTCAATTCGTTGAATGAACCATATGACACGAAAAAAGATTCGTTAATTTTGATAAACGAGTTCGAACAGGAGAGTCAAGTACGCGCATCACAAGAACAAGGCGACCATTTGAGCTTATAAAACTTAAACTTTATTTTTTTTTAGCTCGTTTCGCTTGATAAGACCCTCGTCTGGAATCGTTTAAAGCCCTTTGAACAGTTTGCACTCTTTTGGACCTTGAACCGTTTGGTTACCATTAAAGTGCATTATATGGAGAAAAATCCTGGAAAGTTTTCATCAAAAACCTTAATTTCTTTTCAGCTGAAGAAAGAAACACATGGACATCTTTGATGACATGGGGGTGAGTAAATTTTCCAGCAAACGTTTTTTTAAAAGTGAACAACTCCTTTAACCGTGACTCGAGGTTCAATGTGCAATCTGTTGTACTGAATTGGTGCAGCGAGGTGAAGTCGTGTTGATCTAACGCTGGAGAAACAGATGCATGCTGCATTGCTCTCTTTGTGTGTCGTATCTCATCTGCCTCATCCAATGTATTCAGAATCCCATACATCAGCAAGCACTCTTTCCCACTACCATGTCTCTGTTTTTACAGGCTAGCTTGGGGAAAGGGTCAGGGTGGTGGACAGGGACGGACAGAATGGTAGACACAAAGAGAGTCAGTGAAAGACAGTGTGTGAGAGAGAGAGAGGGGCAAAGAAATGGAAGAAGAGGGGATAATATATGCTGGTAAGGGCCGATTGTTCAACTGCCTTCAACCCACAGATGAATCTAACAAGCCATGACAAAGTCTCTGCTCCCTCAAACTCCAAATTTACCATGTGTGGTCTCATATCAATCTCTCATGCTGAAACTTCAAAAACATGTCAATGAGGAGCTATTCAGACACCTCACTTTGAGTGGGCTGGTAGATATAAGATATACTTTGTTGTTTTGTCAGTAGGGTTGTTGAACTTACACCAGTGTCCTCGGAGGTGGGTGCTTTAAGTGTTTGTGGGTATGTTTGCCCATATAAGGCCTATACTTGTGCAAAAAAAAAAAAAATTAAATGGTACAGTGATGGTATCAGAGGACAAAACTATGGTACTTTGATGATGGTGGGGGTGCTCCTGAAAGCATGGTTGCAGGATTGAACTGAGAATGCTTTTTAAATTCTAATCAAATTCCTGGATATGAAGTAAGGTATAGCAAACAGGACAATTAAATTTAATTTAATGAAGCAAGGAACAGATCCAAAGAAATTCTGAATTAAGAAAGTGCAATAAGTGTAATTTTAAGGAAAGGGCCAGTTCATGAAGACTTAAAGGGATACTCCACCCAAAAAATCATTTTCTTCTGCTGAACACAAAGGAAGAAATTTTTTGAATCAACCAAACAGTTGATTGGCACCATTGACTTCCATAGTAGAAAAAAAGTATGGAGTATCCCGTTAAGAGATTTTGTGAAAGTGTTTTTATTTTTTCTTCTACACACACAAACATACTGGTATTTCTATACATACTATGATTCCTGTTGCTTTTTCACAATAGATTCTACTTCCTGCAAGGAAGAGAATTTTTAAATGATGAATTTTTTTCCAACCCTGTCTGAAAGATTACAGTATTCATGCACCATGATAATTTTCCTGGTACTATCATGGTACCAGTATATGTGTGGGCAGCTGTATATTTCAATCGCTGATTGTTTTGTATGTGTGTGTTCGTCAAAGATATTAGTCACTCAAATCAGTTATAAAATAAAGAGAAAACATCTCTTTCGTCACCAGTTTAAGTGGTAATGAATACGTAATAGCGGTTTTATTGGTTTTGTTCTTCATCCAGACTTTACCCTGCACTCCATTAGATCTAATCAGTAAAATACGATTCAGCATTAATGTGCATTGCAGTGTAATCAGTAAGCCTATAAATGGACATTTGGTCATCTCAATGTCAACATTGCTGTTGTTTCTGATTGCTATGTTCATTTCATTCTTGACAGTTCAGTGTCTCTTCCTAGTTTTTTTCTCTCTTTCAAAGAATTGTGACCTAGTTAAATTGTAAAGTGGATAATTGTGTGGAAGACAGTGACTTATACTGCTTTTACGAATGGCGTGTACAATAAATTATTTCAGAGCAACTGGACTTCTATATAGGGCTCTGAAAATGAGCCACCTGGGGCTCGTCTTTTGTGTGTGACAAATCAGGTAGTGGTCGACAGGTAGTTTTCCATTACACACAAGTATAATGGTTATGACTAGCATGCAAGTGGAAACTGCAATCTGCTCCAACACGGTCACCTGCCTAGTTATAGTAGCCTAATCCTGAAGATCTTGATCATCTGGTGCAGGTTGTTTAATTATAGGTGGAGCTAAACTCTTTACATGAAGGTGGTTCTCTAGGAGCAGCATTGGACAGCCCTAGTGTAAATGGAAGCACAAAATTAATATCTAAAATGATTTGATGTACGATTTAGGAGTATTATGCTTTGCTGGGTATCTAGACATCAAACAAACTCCTTGAGACACTATCAGATGGGCACAGTTAATTGTATAGACCTCTTTTCAGTTGGTAAACATGGTGACGTTTTTTGTGGGTGGAGCTTAGGTGTAGGCAGAATGATCCCTCTGGCCGCATCTCTAACGCTAGTTAGCAAGATTTATTAGCTTGTTTTTTAACAATGACTGGAGAAAATCCGATTTTCATGTGTAAGGTCACTCAGTGTCCAGGGCCGCGATTGTTATTTCCAAAAGTTATTTTTAACAGACGGAACCAGATTGGCCGACCCATAGCCGCCTACATGCTCACTCAATTCATGGACAATCTGACAGGATTAACGTACGTTACCTCGGTTGAGTGGCCTGACTTCTAAACCTACCTTATAGAGAAACCGATCGTAAATAGAAACTGAGGGCATATACATCTTTAGATGCCTATAACTTGTGTGTACGATCATCATTGCGATTTTAATGATGTGAATATTTTCTAGAAATAAAAATTCCATTAATTTTTCATCAATTCTTGCACCAAACAACACAACAAGATGACATTTAATAATAGTAACAATAATTTAAGCTCCTATTATGTAGCCGAATCTGTGCTGGTTAGTATTGGCTGCCTACAGTTTTCACTTTGTTTCACCTCCAGCTAGCGCCGTGACGTAACTGTGACGTCAGCGCAAAAAGGGTCTATAGCCCAAGTTCCTGCAAATATTTCTGTGTAAATAGTGATGTTTAAAGTTTGGGATTATTCGTGTAATTAAGCTCTTTTGTTGGCAGTAGCTGAAGTTTAGTGCTGTGATCAGAGTCAAGCGCGCATACTGGCATCTGTAAACCACAAAAATGCTTTCAGAATCTCCAATTTGCTGCTGTTCCTGGACGAACTTACATTCCAGGTGAAATGTGCTGCCAGGAAAAACATGGCTGAAAATACAGATGTCAGATCAGCTGGTCTACATTCTGATTCTGTGAAAGGAATCTCAGCATGCTTTCCCGAGTTCAATCACAAAGTTTCTATTTCACTTTTCTGTAATGTTTACTGATTTTCAAAGCTCACTTTGAACAGCGCCATCAGTTGTTTATGATTATAATTAAGACAGAGTCACAGGCAGTCAAGGAATTTCAAATGACTGTTTGAATAATTGCATGCTAGTTTAAATGCTGTATGTGGCATGCATGTGTGTGTGTGTGTCTAAACTCACTGTGTGTGCTGACTTTACCTCCACTCCATCATATTCTTCATCGAATAGTGTGCAGTACTGAGGTAACCCCAGTTGACTTAGCCATTTCGAGATGGACATGTGCTTCATGATAGAAATGTATCCAAGTGTTGCCTCAAAAATGATCCGCATGGAAGGCTAGGAGAAAAGCAAAGCAATATTTGCGTTAATAAAGTGATTATTTTAGACTTTTTTAAAAAACTAAAAAAAAAATAGATGATTAATTATTCATGGCATGAGTTATTTGACCGTTGACACATGACATTTGAGTCATTTATGAGTAATTGCTTTCAGGAACAAATAAAGCAAACTGTATAGAATCATCTGCCCTCATGTTTGACAGCTCATAAAAGCTAAAAAAAAAAAAAAAAAAAAAAAACCATTCGCTCACAATCCAGAGGTTGCAAAATTCTGTCTGCACATGATTCTTTCTCTGTGAGCCCTGGGGGTCCGCAAAATGCAAGTACATGGTACTTAAGGTGCACTCCTAAGAAATCTAATAAGCAGTTTGAACAGTTTCATTATGATTAAGAAGTGATTCATGATGCCCTGTTGTGCATGATTGTGTGCACATGGGTGGAGCACATGTGCATAAATGCGTACTGTATGTGTGTGCATGATTCTGGATATCTTCCCTCAAACTGACTGTGAAACCCCACAATGGATTTATGGTGTTGGCGTACTATACAATCCAGCTTCCCTCAGTTTAATAGATAATTTACGAGAGGGCAGCATTTCTACTCCCTTTCTCCTTCAAAGTATGATCGGACAAATCCCTAGAAGTTTCTTTTCCATAAGACATTCTGTGTGGGGGCAGTTATGCACAGGTCAGAAAGATGTATGTCTTCTTTTTAGATTTGGATTCCAACACAAAAATGCAAAGGAATTGAATTAATTAGAAAGGCTGGATGAGGCAGCAGTGTTTTTTTTTTATATATATATATCTTGGCAAGATATGTCCTATCATTTAAGAACACCCAGAGAGAAGACCATTACAGTTATTAGTGTGTGTGCGAGAGAGAGAGAGAGAGTGTGTGTGTGTGTGTGTGTGTGTATTTATAGACTATATGGGCTCCACTTGAGAGCAGAAGACCCTGTCACCTTGCCTGAGAGAAGTGCTTTATCAAGGGTTACTCCTGCCAACAAAATAATCCACTTCACAAATCATAACTAATCATGCCCTAAACATCATCTCATGCTTTATTTAGTGTTTCATCATGACAGGGATGTAGATTCAAACCAATCGTATGATAGCTTGTGATATTGCTTTTATACAGCAATTCAATAAACAAAATGTAAATAATCAGTAACTTACATTTTAAACACATTTTATTAAGTTACTTCATCTGTTTTTGCTCCAGCAACAAAAATAGTTTTAAAAGATTTAATCCATGCTCATATCTGAGCAACACACAGTAGTGGTGTTCCTGAATGAATCAGTGTCACAAAGAGAGAATGATTCAATGACTCGTTCACTTGTCTCGTCCCTGAATGATTCAATGTGGATAAGACACATCCCTTTGGTGTGAGAGACCCGGGTTCGAATCCACTGTGAGACACCAATGTGTCCCTGAGCAAGACACTTAACCTCTAGTTGCTCCAGAGGCGTGCGACCTCTGACATATATAGCAACTGTATGTCGCTTTGGATAAAAGCATCAGCTAAATGAATAAATGTAAATGAGTCACTCATAAAGACATTTGTCGCCGCCTACTGTTGTATCAATGTAACTTGTAGTCACTGAAAAATCTCCACCACGTGAAAGAAATTCTGTTGGAATTATTACTTAAGTATGAGGAATAAAAATAGTGATGTTTTCTTTAGCAAGCAGCATTTTCTGTATGGGTTGCCCTATTGATGAGACCTAAATTTCTGCGCCTACAATTTGACCACAAATTAAAACAGGGTTTGGAGTGTAAAGAAAATATTTAATAAAAACACGATTTTAACTCATTTGTCATCTACCCCTTGAACTTGATCTTGTTTTTATGAGCCCTGCAGTATTTCATTTTCCAAATGCAGACATGCACCGGTCAGGAAGATCCTGATGTCCCTGTTTTCACAGCAATAAACTCCCATCCACTCTCACACAATGGGCAATAAAAACTGCTGGGGCAATACAGCAAAAATGTCGCAGTCAATTCAATATGGGTTGCAGGCCCAGCTGTGCTCACAGTCAGTGTATAGTCCATCCCTGGGGTGAAGCAATCAGAGGAGTAGCTTACACAATTGTGGGGAGGTTTGTTCCTGTTGTGAATGTCAATGCCCCTGTGGCCACAAGGAGAGATGTATGGTGGGGCTCACACATCGGAGGACAGGTTGTTTGGGTGACAAGAGAAGGCTGACCACCCTTGCACTTAAATCAAACAAGTGCCTTTCTCTTTAATCAACTGATAGTTGATTGGGTTTAAATTACAATCAAGATATTGGCTTGACAGTTTACATTATATTTATACCATTAGGTCCAATACACATAGTTTGAAGTCCAGTGCATTTGCCAATTTTGTATGCATTTTTATAATTACAAGCTACTAAAAATATATATATATATACTATTTAAAGTATATATATTTATATATATTATTGCTTCATGTGATCAAGTTGAAGGTGGATGCTGATGATGAAGCACAGTTGTGTGGCTGTTATTCAAGCATCTGAAATATCCAATCTCTTTAAAAGCCACATTGCAAAGGTACATCCTGACATGGCTTAATCACATTTAGGGTTTAGTATGCACATGCACCCACACATATCAATGTCATATATGATTGTGAATTTTAACCATTGATAGAGTGCTGAACAAGATCATGTTCATCATATTCAACATATTCTTCCTCCACTTCTTCAAGCGTTACTGCATGTTTTAGACAGAAATAAAATATGCTTTAGCACTGTTACTGCGAGGTCTATGGGTGGAAAAAAAGCTCTGGTGATTAGAAAGCATGCAACAGGAACTAATTACTGCACTCTGTGGGCTGGAGACACGTGAAGTCACACACTGTGCTTTGAACATCCTGTTTGGGATACAGAAGCCCCCTTCCGTTTCCTCTGTTGTGGTTGCAGATTCATGGTTTTGGGGGGAAAGAAACAAGTGACTGCCTGGCTCCTTTGCACTCCGATGACTTTAAACATTATTCCTTAATTTACTTCTGCTAAAATGTTTTTTTTTTTTATATTTTGTTTACCTAAATTTTCTTTAATATTGATTTCTGTTTTTAGACATGTGACAAAACTAAAAGAGTGCAGTCTGTGAAAACATGTAAAGAAAGATCTTTATGGTGTATAGGCAGAATATATATATCTGCTATATGCACATATTCTTTATTTTAGTGAATTTCTCTTTACTTAGGTCATTTTCTCAAAACAGTTCTCATGACCAACTCTCAGCTTGGCAGAGCAGTTCATTTCACATTCAAAATGCACTAGTATTACCAAAACACTTAATTCATGTTTCAAATCAACTCATTCTTCCAGAACACCCAAGGTTGCCAACAAACACTTGTGTCTCTCATGTCCTAAAAGGCTTACACATTGATTTATTTTGTAAAATGTCTTTACAAAACAAGAATGGCACTCTCTGCCGTTTAGAATTCACTGCAGTATATGTTATAGAACATGTTTCAGTACAAAATTACAAGTTTTTACCTTTTGTATAGACTGTAATGACATTGAAAGAATAACATCTGTGAATGTGTTCAGTTACATGTAACTGTTTTGATAAAAGCATTTCCTTTTTTAGATTCCTAATGTATTTCAATATGGAATTGCTGTAGAAATGTACAAAATTGCTGGCTTATTCAGTTTTGTATTATATTAGGTTTTAAACCTAAGTTTAACAGTTTTGAAAAGAGAATATAAGCGTGCAAATTAGCCTAGAGTGAGAAAACAATTCATGTCATTTGAAAGATGTTGTCAGTGGATGTATTTTGTGCCAACGCAATTATAAGTGATCCTCAGTTTAGCTCACATAGACTGCTGTGCTGTGTGAAGAGTTTTGCAAAAATTGACCCAAGTATTGAAAAAATAGCGATTGTAAAAAAAAAAAAAAGCTGTAAAAAATTGTAAGTCAGTTCCCCTCAAGTTCAAGTTCACTGATTTAACCATGGCCCTCATAAAATGATGTTTCACACTGTCTACATTCCTAAACCCTGCATTAAAGTACTTATTTGCACATTTGCAGTGTCAGTCTCGCTGATTGGACCAACTGAATGGATTTCTCAAACAATAACGTTAAAGGGTTAGTTCACCCAAAAATGAAAATTAAGTCATTAATTACTCACCCCCATGCTGTACCAACCCCGTAAGACCTTCGTTCGTCTTCGGAACACAAATGAAGATATTTTGGATTAAATTTGAGAGCTGTATAACTACCACATTGGCTGCCTAAGGGACTGCCTCTTGACGGCCCAAAAAGTCAATGAAGAAAATGTTTAAATATCCCAAGTGACTACCGTGGCTCAACTATATGTTTATCAAGCGACGCGAATACTTTTAGTGCGAAAAAACAAACAAAAATAACGAGTTTATTCGACTATTTCTTTTCTTCCTTGTAGGCCAGAAACGAGACTTCCTGGCTTAGATTTCCACAACGCATGCGCGAGAATTGCGATCTGAAGTAGTGTAAACTGGTGTAAGCAGATCGCAATTCTCACGCATGCGTCGTGGAAATCTAAGGAAGTCTCGTTTCTGGCCTACAAGGAAGAAAAGAAATAGTCGAATAAACTAGTTATTTTTGTTTGTTTTTTCGCACAAAAAGTATTCTCGTTGCTTGATAAACATATAGTTGAGCCACGGTAGTCACTTGGGATATTTAAACATTTTCTTCATTGACTTTTTGGGCCGCCAAGAGGCAGTCCCTTAGGAGCCAATGTGGTAGTTATACAGCTCTCAAATTTAATCAAAAATATCTTAATTTGTGTTCCGAAGACGAACGAAGGTCTTACGGGGTTGGTACAGCATGGGGGTGAGTAATTAATGACTTAATTTTCATTTTTGGGTGAACTAACCCTTTAAGAAAGAAACGGTCTCTTCTTCACTCCAATTTTCACGTTGCCATTTTTCCTATCAAATGCTGGAACAACTATATACAACTCGCAGTGTTTCCAAGACTCCCCAAAGCACACGATTGGTTGTCAGTTAAGCTAAGCATCTAATCGTAACGTTCTAACACCATTGTTTCACACTGCAACCTTTTGGCACCACAATGCGGGGTTAACACCGGTGATAACCTCTGGAGCAGGGTTTTATAACCCTGGGTAAAACTACTGAATTACAAATGTGAAACTTTCTTTTATCCAGGGATAAAAATGAGGTTTAGAACGACAAAAACCCTGGGTTGACCGCACTGTCAAAAGCCCTTTTAAAAAAATGCTCAAAGTTTTCTGGTACAGTACACAAATGAGCAAAATTTGCCCGTCTAAATACTACACTTGCAGCCGTTAAGCTAAAAACATGCCACAGAAAAGAGCCAAAAAATGTGATAAATAAGATGAACTGAGCTATTTAAGCTATTTTTATCTTGATAGCGCTGATTAAGAATGTCAGTCCTTTATAAGATTTGGTTGGACGTCTTCATTGAACTGTCAGATTTCAGGATAAGAGAGGAGAGTAAACGCAGAATCAGTGACATCATTGTTCTGAGTTAAGCATTCCAGAACGACACATGTGGGAGATCTTACAAGTCAAGAGCACACGCAGCACTGATTTATTATTACGTTGCATGTTGCACATGTGTGACCGGCAGAATTGAGATTGTTACATATGTGACCTGCATGACTTGAAAATGTGGGTGTGCTTGTATATGAGATGATATATGCTGTGTCAGATCAAGACTAGAACACCCTCTGAGATGAAAATGCAGGAATGTTTTGGACTCTTTAAATCAACCTGATTGTATGTGTGAAGCTTTTTGACCAAGAAACTCTTGCTAATTAAAACCCTCATCCAAAACACTACATATGCTGCTCTTTTCTCTTTTCCACAGGGTTGAGATACGTTACAACATTTTAGCAATCAGTCAAGATAGTGTGGACATTTTGTCAGTTCAAGTGAAGCGTACGAGCAGATGTTCTGTACAAAGTGTTTCTGTCCTGCTAGTCCTCTCTATCTTGTGTTAACGTCTCATAGTGGGGAGTTTAAGAGGAGGCAGGCACCACTCTCTCCCCATCCCACCCTCCTAATCTCTGCTTTTGCATGAGGCAGCTCACCTAAAATACATTTAAAGAATTCTAATGCAATAAAAATCATATTTACTTTAAACATCAGACAGTGATGATCAAATGATGCTTGTATTTGAACTTCTGCCAGATGAACAAAGATTTTACGATAAAAACAAATAAATGCAAACTAAATTGCCCCTGTATTCCCCAATATGCTCCATTTGATAGTTCTGCCTGGGGAGGAGGACGGTCTCCCTGATTCACAACATTCCGGCCGTATCTGAAGTCCTGAGCTCACGCCACAGTTAGGCTAATAACATTCCCTGGCAAGGTTTGACTCATCCTCACAGAGAATCTGTCAGATACTTTTGCCATTACAGCTGTTTGGGATACAGTAAACACCGACTGGAGGCTCTTCTTCAAGGTGTTGAGAGAAATCTTGTTCATAGCAGTCTGTATGGATCGCATTTAATGATGCTTTTTGTAATGCTTCTGATTTAAATGCTCGAGCTCTTGAAAAAGGATGGATTCTGCTATACTTTTATATTTAGAATGATTTTTAGAACTATATCTTTATCGTTATAGGTATTATCCTTGGTGTGAAGTTGAACGGCGTAATTCAAAGACAGTTTACACTGACTTTACAATTTTAAATGTTTAAAGCCGCAGACGACTATACTGCAACACGCTTAGAATAAACAGAACGATATCGTAATCACTATAGTTATCATACGGCAACATGACATCATGACTTTTGCGTAAACATACACGCCACTTTCGAGTCAGGTGGCGTGTTATCTCTACGCATTTTGAGCTATCCGCATGTATGCGTGTATCTCTACGCCATTAACGTCCGCGTCATTCCGCGTGTCTGTACACGCAGTCAAATCTCCAGTCATAAATGCCATTAACCCCAGTGACGGTTAAGTTTAGGGATGGGGTTGAGGTAAGTCATATCTTTTTTTTACCTAGGATAGTAAGGGAGCAGTCATAAATGCCATTAACCCCAGTGACGGTTAGGTTTAGGGACGGGGTTGAGGTAAGTCATATATTTATATAACGTTAAGTCAACGGCGTTCATAAACACGCTGAAAGGCGATTATGCGTCTTGATAGCACGCCAAAAATGGAAATACGAATTGGCGTGGCATACACACGCTACTTCATGAGATCAGTCTGCATATGGTGTGAACTGGCCAGCTTCATGAAATGCAAAATATCCAATTTCAATGGACATCACTTTCCTGTTTGATATACTTTAAAAGTTCACCCAGAAATGCAAATTCTGTCATCTTTTACTCACCCTTCAAGTTGTTCCAAACCTGTATGAGTTTCTGTCTTCTCCTGAACACAAAATAAGATATGTTGAAGAATGTGGGTAACCAAACAGTTGATGGGGCCTATTGACATCTATATTCTTCAAACTACCTTTTTTTCAGCAAAAGACAGAAATTAATTTAGGTTTGGAACAACGTAAAGGATGCCAGAATTTTCATTTTTGGGTGAACTATCCCTTTAAGATAATTGCTTGTTTAGATTTATTTTATTGTGTAGATTGTCTTGCAGAGATTGGAAACACAGTGTAACTTGAGAAATGCACACTAGGTCAGAGGTCAAGTGAAACTTTCAAACTCCTAAGTTCATTCAGAGTTCTGTCTCCTCCTCAAACAGACTTCCTGAGGACAGTTGTGAGAAACTCATAAAAATAGCAAACACGTTGTGCCCACAATCATTTAAAACCATGGTATTGATTTGTTTGCTCAAAGTTAAACGGCATAGCATTGGTCCATCAATATCTCAAATTGAATTTAAAGCATGAAAAAATGAACAAGCCGTGAAGTCATTATGCTGCTAAGTTAAACATAAAACACTCTTTGCTGAGTTTTATTCATTTAATGTCCAATCGATCAGCTCTTTTAATCAAAAAATATGAATCAAATTATTCATTGTGCTGTTTAATGTATGTATAGTAAGAGCGCATAGCATATGAGTAAAAAAATAATCTTTTTGTGTTTTTTTGGTCATTTGAGAGACATGATCTCTGTTTAGTTGCACACACCTGGCTGCCCTGTGGTCAAGAGTTCATCATCCCACAAGCCACTGCATGTTCAGGGCATGCTGGGTTCTAGACTGTTTTAAAGTATATGGAAAACACCATTGCTAGACTGTCTGCAAAAACTAAGACACCAGATGCACTGATTGCCTTCAGTGGCGTTTATCAGGATGTGAACGACCACATAAGAAAGCTCTCAGCATGCCACATGTATGTGTGGTTTGGTTGGGAGCTAAAAAATTTTAGGGGCTCTTAAACTCTTCCTCTCTCGCTCTCTCTGTCCTCCATTTACCTCTAGGGCAAGCCAAGAGTCGAAGCCAAATAACTTGGAATTTAGGTTCCAATAAAGTTGCACACACATATTTCAATTTCTTTAATGGAAGTTTGCTGAAGCAGCGTGCCATGAATGCAATTTGCATCTAATGTTAGACCTTTGAGGGCAAGCACTCATCCAACAAAGTTTTAAGAGAGTCTCTTAATTGACAGACAAACCCTGCGGACAGATGATTTAGTTTCACAGCACGTCACTGAACCTGTGAGGCATTTTGTCAGTGTCAGAATGCTCAAGGTTAAGAGTGTTTTAGCTCAAGAACCTGAATATTCTCTATACCTGAGAAATCGGTATATTAGGTATGTTAGGTTAAGCTATTTTATAGTTATTGGTAAATATTACAACTTTAATAGTAGGCCTACATCATTATTAAATGCATTTTTACTCTTAATAAGATCATAAAGATGTTCTGAGAAGTCATTGAATAAGACAAGTATAGGATAAATAGTAAGCCGGGGAGCGACTTGTTGATGAAAAACTTACAAGCGATGAGAAGCAATTATAGAAAACGTGTTCAAATGAAAACGTGTTAAATGGCTTGTCATAAGTTTGCATTTCAAAACGTAGGCTACTCTTAATTAGCCTACTAAACGGCTTCATAAATGGTTATATGCTACACACAATCTGTTGGTCACATTGATTATAAATAAAAAGTAAGCAAAACTCACCTTGAAGGTCGTCGCGTTTTTACTTCAGTAATAGATGTTTCCCAGTCCAAATTAACCGACTCCCTCAAGAGAGTAGACGCAGATGTCAAACACTCATTGTGCATGAATTGTCCCTGCTGTAACTGCTCTCCCCTGTGATAAAAACGGAATGATGCTCACTGGTGACAAATCCCCCAAGGATGCGATTACTACGCTCCTGACATGAATGCGCTTTCTTTCACTAGAATGCGCGCCGAGATGCTGCGTCGACAGGTCTGCACTCCACGCGCGCGCCGTAATATTGTTGTGACTTGTGAGTGATTTGATGCGGTTGTTTGAGTCCAAAACTGTCCCATGTTTGAGCTCTCTGATATATATATATATATATATATATATATATATATATATATATATATATATATATATATATATATATATATATATATATATATATATATATATATTAAATATGGCACATATAGCCTAAGCAATTATTCAGAAGAAAGATCGAAAGTCAGATTTGAATCAGTGAGTAGGAACGCAGTTGACGGTTAATCTTTAAATTGTGCGACCGCACGAATAATGGTGAAGGAGGACTAGAGATAAACAACCCGAGCTGAAATGTTCTATTACTTTCTCTTCTTTTCTCGCACGGTGTAATATTTCCAGCTGTGAAACTGCTAGACTATTCAAAATCATTTTGAAATGACTGTTTTAGGCATGCGTAAAATTGTCCTATAACATTTAAGAAATTGGACCAAACCTATCAACATTATATATTTAAATGAAATAACACGGATTCCTAATATATGATAAGCTCGTGGACACTAGGACCAGCAGCACTTAAAATATTAGTCTGCTTTTGGGCAGTCGGCCAACACTTCAGCTCTGAATATTGTTCTTCAGAAGATGTGACCTTAGTCTTTCGACCCCCCAGTATCATAAAGAAATAATTCATGCATAGATATTAAGTCACGGCTGATGGACTGATGACCGATTCAGATTTAAAGATTAATAGTTGTGTTTTACAAAGATGAAAAGATCAACCTGCAATCCTTCCTGAACCCTTCTTAGAGGCTAGCATAACCCAAATATTTTAAATAGCCTATTGAACTCCATAATTCAATTGCTTATATTGATTTATTTACTTATTATTTTACCAAGCAATTTAATCCATTGCTTATTAAATTAATGTTCCACATCTCTAAATTTATTATGTATAATAATGGTAACATAATCATAATAATGTTTTACAAATCATGTGCACATATACAAAAAAAAATAAACATTTAATTTGTATCACATAATAGCAAGAAAGAGGTCTCTTTGGTGGTCGAAATTGTATGCCGTTTAGTTTTACCATTCTGTTAATGAATGGTTTAAATATGGTGAAGCATGTATAATGCAGTCCTTTGAGATTGAGTTGAGTTTCTAAAAAAAAGAAGTAAAGGCATGAGTTGCCCTGTTATCATTGTCTAACAGCCTTCCCCTGTGTGAGAAGATGAGAGCTTTTGGCTTGCCATCTCACGTTTCCTTTTGATTCCCCTGCCCTGGTAGACAGGAGCATTGAGGCATAATGATTACATGAGTGAACATAATCATGCTTTTCTCTCAGCCATGCTGTCATTAGTCTTACAAATACAGCCATGCCAGGCTGATTCTGAAACAAGCGGATGACATGACTGGCATATACCCATCTCTTGTATCAGAAGGCAGGACGGGCAGTACCATTTGCCCATTGTGCCAGGAGAAACTGATGGAGAGCTCACCAGCAGGCACACAATGGGCTCTCTGATGCGCAAAACAATTGTGGTATTGTTTGGGTTACTTTTTGCTGTTTACTGTGCTGGGAGAAAGTTGCACCCACACAGAGCTCTGCAGTTTCTGTCATCTCTGGTCGATAATAACACCAACTTAAAGACCTACTGCATCCTTTTGGATATGATCAATGCATATTAAAAGATAACCTTTATCATACAATTAATTTACCTAAAGATTCCAATCAATGTTCAATATTGTTCACATTGGCCAAAAAGTATGGACACTTAAGTCACATTTAAAAATTGGCAGAATTGTATTGCTTTGATTAGATACAAAATATCAAATCAATCAGCATCTGCAAACAAATCATAACACAGCTCTCAGAACAAACTTCACTTTTCCTGAACCATTTTCTAAAACGATTCATACTGCTAACTATTAACCTTAATTGAAATCATTAAGCTGTTTTAACTGAAAGCACTTTTTGGATAACACTTTATTTTACAGTTACGTGTACTTACACTATACTTATCCAAGAAAATACTGGCAATATAAAGTAACTACATGAGTTAAAGGGTTACAGAAAATGAAAAGTCTGTCATTAATTACTCAACCTCATGTCGTTTATCTTCGGAACACAAATTAAGATATTTTTGATGAAATCCGAGAGCTTTCTGATCCCCCATAGACTGATTGCCACTTTTAAGGCCCAGAAAGGTAGTAAAGACATCATTAAAATAGTCCATGTGACTACAGTGGTTCAACCTTAAAGTTATGAAGCAATGAGAATACTTTGTGTGCAAAAAAACCTATCAAAAATAACTACTTTTTATTCTCTTCCGTGTCGCTGTTCACATGGGTTTTTCAACGCATTCTCAGGGTGTCATATAGTGACGCTTTTGACAATGCGTCTAAATCCGACGCACATGGCACCCTTTAGCGTCAATATAACACGCTTCGGTTATGGGTAGGTTTAGGTCTGGGTTAGGCGCCTCCTGGCCCATATATGTCTCATATTGAGCTAAAGGGTGCCATGTGCGTTGGATTTATACTCATTGTCAAAAGGGGTAGGAGTATATAAGTTTTACTTCTTCCTACTCCTTTTCGCACATATAATAGAAGTATGTCAACAGCAAAGAATTATACATATATATTTTTGCGGCTCATTTGTTTTGATTTTTCCTAAGTTTTTTAAACATTGTTTTATTTTATATACTTTCTTTTTATGTTCGAAATAAAGATTTCAAATTCAAAGCGTCATATGACCCCTTAGGATGAGAATTGCGTGCAAAAAGTATTCTCATTGGTTCACAAAATTAAGGTTGAACCACTGTAGTCACATGGACTATTTTAACGATGTCTTTACTAACTTTCTGGGCCTTGAATTGATTATGTTGCAGTCTATGTCTGGTCAGAAAGCTCTCAGATTTTATCAAAAATATTAAGTCTTACGGGTTTGAAACGACATGAGGATGAGTAGGATTTCATTTTTGGGTGAACTAACCCTTTTCAGGTTAGGTTTAGGGGTAGGTTCAAGGTTAGTACCTATAACCCAGTTATTTTAATTGCTATAATAATTACATCGTATTTCCATGCAGAACAGGACTGTAAAGTAATGTGCAACCACTTATTTCCTAAGGTGTGTTAATAAAATCTATAAATTTCCTAATTAAACTAAGGTCAAATTCTGACTTAATCTCAGCTCTGTCTGTAAAACCATGCCTAAATCTTTTTTTTTTTACACTTTGAAACTTCAAAAACGTAATTTTGTCTTTTTTTGTAGTGTGCTTATGCTACATTTCTTTACAATAAATGCCATTGTTTTGATACGAAATGCAAGGATATTTACGTTGTGTCTTAAGTGCCCAATTTTTGGGGCCACTATATATGGAATTCGTAAGAAAATGCAGGACAGTTTTCTTAGAAAGTGTAAACTATCAATGCACAGTTGTACATACTGCAGATAACATTGTGTCTAGGGGGCTTTGGGTTTTTGGGGTGGGACTGTCTGTCGACAAACAGATGATACAGCGCATTGCCCCTGGACTGTCCTGCCCTGACAAGTTACTTCATCATAAAGTGAAAACAGCACCATGGGAAAAAGTCCTTATACCAAATCTGACAATATCCTTCAGTCATCATCTAATCATCTTGAGAAATATGATCACATTGATGTTTCCAAAACACTCATATTTATGTGACCAACAACAGATTTATGATCATTTCTTGAAGATAAAAACACATAAACCACGTATTGCATAACTTGCGTGTGTAATGCATGAAAAGCATCTTTTCAGGGGCACATTTCTGTCACAATGATAAATGGCTATCAAAATTGTCTGTACATGCAGTCACTGGCCGTCTAAACAAAGATAAACAATGAGAGTGGAGGGCAGTGTCGCTCTCCCTGAGCGCAGCAGAAGACGCCTGTTGTTAGGTGGTGTTAGTCTTTTTCACTCAGCTTTTTTGACATGATTTCACCCCTCACCTGCTTCTCGATGGATCAGATCTGTTCAACCCTGCTTTGAGACTAACCACAGATCATTGTATACTAAGCTGCATACAATGATGGAAAAAGATGATAAATTACACCGATGATGAATTAATGCCACAATAAGGTCACTGATTCATCCGAGCCTGGCTGAACAAAAGGGCGGCTCGTATTGTGACAAAAGTGAATGGTTTGGTTCTCCACTGGCCAGACTCCGGGTGTTGAAAAGTGTCAGCTTTGCAAAGCAGCTGTAAGTGCAGATAGATGAATTTAGAAGACACTGATTAAAAATGTGCATTTTGACTGGCTTATAGTTTTGCATGAAGTGTTTCAGCGCTCCAATAGGCTACATCTGTTTTAAAAGCAGAGAAAGCCTAATGGCAAGACATTTTGGCATTAAAGAAAAGGAACAGCACCTCTTATTTAACCCCATGTTTTCTTTTACATTTTTGTATTTCTGTGTCACTTGAATGGATCAATCCTGCTGAAGTTCATGTACAGTTTTTCATAAAGCTAAAACACATTTCTCGAAACCATTACCCACTTTCTAAAAACCAGGTAGGAATCCGAAATCGCCCTCATCATCACTATTCCCTATATGTTAATCTACTGTTCACTTGAAGGAAAGGAGTGAGCGAATTCGGACAGCCGTTTAGCATACAGCAGTTGTACATTTGTTATTGCAGTGCATTGTGGGATTTAAATGCACTCTGTAACGTCCACTATGGTTTCGGACACCACTACTTACTAATAATAATAAGTTTAATTTATATTGTGCCTTTCCCAAGCTCAACGACGCTTCACAATGACAGTAAATGCAGGCATATTGTCTCGCATTGCAAGTATAGTATTGTACTGAATATTACTGAATGTCTGTATATTCGGGACTTGTTTAGTGTAAAAATACAGTAGTGCAACTGCAAAAGC